ACATATTCAAATATATTTCATAGTATGTTACAGACTATGTATGTTACAGACATGTATGTTAAATCATGTTGTAATATATAATAATTGTGGTTTTTTTTTTAGCATAGAAGTGTTAAACTGTGTCTGTTGCTTTTAGAGCCAAATGGCACTTTAGTCACCTTGCTTTTAATTCATCAGTGGCTCAAGCAGACTAGTGGCGAGTTTCCAAGGTGGCCTTGTTCCAGGATCCCACCATGCTCTGTCACTGGCTGGGAACAGCCTACAGGAAGCATGGCCTAGCATGTCCACCACGGTGGATCCAAAGAGCCTCTAGCTTAAGGCTGTCAATCAGCTTTTTCTCTACTAATCGAAAGTTCTCTTGAAGGGAGATCTAACCAACTCACCTCCAAGGCCACCACTATAGTCATTTTCTTCTAGAAATTACCTGGCCATCCCATTGACCTGGGGTCTATGGCATCTTTGTGTTTTTGTTACATATCTGTAGAAATTCTTCATATGTTTGGTGCAATAGTTCTTGGTTGAATATGCTGCAACCATTCCCTACTACTCTTTGCTTTCTTTTAACTCTGACTCTGTGTTTCACCATATAGAAGGCTTTTCTGTTTAAAAAAATTGTATAGTAAAATCTGTTAATTTTTCAAAAAAAATTCTTCAGTGGCATCTTCACCAAGTGCTGCATTGATGAGATCATGCTTTTTGTATTTTAGAATGATTAGTCCGTATTCTCTGAATAAGCTTTCAAATTTTTTTTAGCAAAAATGGGTCAGCAGGGAAACATTTAATAGGTTTATCTTTTGCACCAAATTTTGGTTTACATTTAACATGCAGGTGAGATTTAATATCTACTTCTGTTGTGTTAGTAGCAAAAGGAAGGAAAATTATTTGATTCCTCCATATTTATGGAAAAATACCTTCCAGTGGTGAATCATTTTGTGTCATGGTCAAACACGTAGGCAAGACAAAAACAAAAACAAACAAAACTCCCCCACAAATGTAAAAATTGGTCATACAGATGGACATTACCCTTGCAAAAGCAGTTCCTAGTTTGTTTGCTTTTTAGGTTTTGTTTTGTTTTGTTTTGTTTTCCCCGTACAAATACAATGGCAGGAATAGGAGCATTGTGTCACTTAGAACTTGCACTTTATGATGCTATCTCCCTTGAACTTTTTTTTTTTAATCTAGAAAGTCAGTTCATGAAGGCTGTTGTGTGTTTTCTAGAACTTAAGAGCTTCATATCCTAGGTTCATTTTATCTGTTATTAGTAAGATGATGATGTCAATTCTCAAAAATTTAAGAAACATGCACTGTCAACTGTACCAGTAGCCCTAAACAATGAAATATAGACATATAAAAGTTAACTCAGGTATAAACACACAAAAGAATTCTCCCTGTGATCATAAAATGATGTTATTTTCTGTTCAGCAGTTAGTTACTGCTGTTAATGCCGATTAATTAAAGGATGTTGCTATAAAGTGCAAATAGGGAATCTGAGAAACTGAGAGGTCTCCACGTGAAGTTAAGTCAATCTGGGCACGGGCAATCAAATGTAATGAAATCACTTGTCAGTGCTAAGCTTGCAAAAACTGTGAAGTTTGACTAGGGAGTAAAAGGATTATAATTAGATTTCCAATAGGATAATAACTAAATGGCAGAACATGGTAAAGAGAAAATATTACTTTGTTAGCTGATGGTACTGCCGTTCAGTTCAGTTTTAGTTTTTATCAGTGCACTTGTAGTTGTGCTAATTCAATTTGCTTTTATCAACAAAAATGCACTACGCAAATGGTACTTGAAAGTCATTTGCAAAAACCATTGATCTGAAGGTGCAGTTAATGACACCCAGTATGTTTATTTTACGTGAAACAGAGATTGGTTGATAAGATGGCTAATGTGCTGTCTTGCAGGCCCTCAACTGAGTTCTGTGAATCTGGGTGGGAGAATGTTAGTGTATATGCTTCACCGAATCCTTCACCTCCAGCAATAGTGGACAGAGCCATCAGAGTATGTATTCATTGTTTGATCACTTTAAAATATTCAGAGGGAGCTGCTATAATAGCCTTCTAAGATAAGGGATACAGAAGGTGATTTATGCATACCTTGACTGTCAAACAACATTCAAAGCATAAAGGACATGAAATAACTAAGCTAAAGAGGTTTAGAATATATATAAGAATCTTAGTACAGGGCAGCCCGGGTGGCTCAGCGATTTAGCACTCCCTTCGGCCTAGGGCCTGATCCTGGAGACCCTGATCGAGTCCTGTGTCAGGCTCCCTGCATGGGGCCTGCTTCTCCCTCTGCCTGTGTCTCTGCCTCTCTTTCTCTCTGTGTGTGTCTCTCATGAATAAATAAATATAATCTTAAAAAATTAAAAAAAGAATCTTAGTGCAAAGAATCTTTGTACTAAAGTCCAAGTGATTATCATAAAACTGTATGTGACTTTATTACTTTTAAAGATGGCCAAGCAACATCCTTCCTAGTCCTCTTTAAACTCTCTTAAGGAGATATCCCATTGGAACTAATTAATTTCAAAACTGAGAGCACTGGGAGATTGATAGATTTCTATCCAGCAGAGCTATTGACAACAGAAAAAGAAGAATTCACTGGTGCTGGAATTGTTTGCTATGAAAAGATGAGTTTTGGAAATGGCATTAGATTGGCATGCATGAATTCATCCTCATAAACAATGCTAGCAAATTATTATTTTTTCCAAAATAAAAAATGGGTAATTGAGGGAAATGGAACGATGAAATCAGTATCAAAAAAATGTCATGAAAGATAAAAATTATAATACACAAGAGCAAATCCATTAGGAAGAATGAAAAAATATTGGCTAATGTTTCATTTTATGTTTTCTGGCATTATACATTTTCTGAAGTTTGTATATGCATATAAAAGCATTTTATCAATTCCGAGCCTCTTAAATAATAAGTGATATTATTGGGACTTTTCAGGTAGTTACTTGAACTGATTCATTTTGTGACCTATACTCAAGATAGTTCTGATAATATTTTCAGGCACCTATTCCACTGTCTAATAAATATTTTTTTCTTTTTTGCTCAAAAAATAAACTTACTTTAGATATTAAACTGTGATTTTACTGTCATATTAACACAAATAATTCACTCTAGTTTTCCATAAACTGATGATGGGAACTTTGTTATTTGTAGTGCTTTAATACTATGCTATGAGAGATGAGAATGTGTACTTTTCCATTTTCATTACATTTATCAAGATTATTTAACATAAACTAAAATGCAGACATTCAACAAGTAATCATTAATATGCCATACTTTACCATATATTGACACTATTAATGACATATATTAGACATATATTAGACAATTTGATTTATAATTTCAAAAAAATAATAAAAGTTTATTTCCTTGCTTTAAAATAAATCCCATTAATCCTTTTAAAGGTGTACTAATTCTCTCATGTTTAGCCAGCAAGAATAGAACTTACTAAAAGTATGCTCAATGAAAATAAATATTAAATGTTCCCTACACCTAGCCACAAATTAATATTCAAAAGCCATTCTTTACAGACTTGTTTAAAATAAGAAAATTTAAATCAAATGGAAGGCTTTTAATTTATATCATCTAACTAACCTCCCATGAATAAGGTATCTCTTTTTTGTTGCATGGAAATGAAACAACTTTAGGACATTAAAAAAAAAAAGCTTGTATTTATTTCAGAGTTGGGAAAGATGTTACTGCTGCAAATTAAAGGAATAATATACATTAAACAAACAGCAATGAATTGAAATATAGGATTAAAGGATAAGAAATATATAAACCACTGATGGTATGTTTGCTTTAACCTCCCAGGTTCCAAAGCTGACCTTACATCCTATCAAAGGAGGGGCACAATCGAGCTCAATATTCCATAAAAGACTGGGATTATATTTGTGTGCCACAAATTAAGAAGTCATTAAACACTTCAGGCTTAGGGTTCTACCTTGGCCTGATATGTGGTAGCAAACTCAACTAGTGGTAGCCCACAACTAGTGGGGCTTTCCTCATAAATTTAACTGTGGTGAATTAATTGGACAAATACAGCATCTCATCCATATTGGTTTTGGTCACATAGACACACCTTTTAAATTGAGGGAAGAAAGCAGGCAAGCAAAAGAAGAATAAAAAATAGCAAAATCTTCACTGAATGAAATAAACATACATGCTTTTCACATGTAGCAAAATTAATGCATTAATTAGGTCTACTCAACTTCAGCAGAGACAGGTATTACCAGAAGATCCATGAGCTCTGAAATTCTTTGTTCTGTAAAAATGATGGGCAAATCTACATGAAACAGGGTTTCTAAATTTTCTAAAGCTGCCACATAAATGGAGACCCTCAAATGAACACGAATGGATCTTTTTTTCACATCCAGTTCTGTTGCCTTCATGTAGATCCAGTCATCACATAATGAAAAGGCATTGATTAGTTAATCGTCTATCAACAACATATCCATGGTTGTTGTCTTGCTTTCTGAAGTTAGGGAATCACTTTTTCATGGAGATGTCTTTTCTTTTTTATTAGCGTGAGACATCTTTTCATATTAAACATGAAAACAAAAGTAATCTGCATACAGAGGGCTAGAAAACTGCATTAGAATCAGACTAGAAAAACTCCAGTGGTTAAATTCAATTTCTATTTTCAGGTTGTTTTGCACTCCAGTGAAATTCTATACTGAATTTTTTCACCGATTTTCTTACTACTAAATATTTTTATATACTTTAAAGGATCTAGGCATTTATGGGAATCTTGAAAATCATGAATTAAAAGTCGTGGTCTTATTTCCATATTTAGATTGTTTCTAAAGTTATCTATATTTAGCACTGGAATTTAAAGGTTGATAAAAAGTGTTGCCTTGAACGCTTTAAACATAGTGATAGGTTATGATTATTTTACCTGTGGGTTTTACAAACAGTAGTGAGATTTCTTTGAAGTATATTTTTGTACACCTCAGAAAGGTAAATTATATTCACAGCTAAGCATTTTTAGAATATGCCTAAAACATAAATATACATACTTTTAACAGCTAAACATATAAGAAATTTGCCCACATTGTATATGTAAAATTATTAGTCCATATATATGTATGTATATATATATTTATATGTATATATATGTATCACTGAAGCTTTCTGCCTCTGACATAAAGTAAGAAGAATTAAACTTATTTATTTTATTCATACAAAGAATACCAATATAGGAGCACATACCCACCCCATATCACACAGTTATAGAGAGAAGTATGCTGTTTACTGTACCTTGCACAGCAGTACTATCATGAGGAGTCCCATTGTTTTCTATTTCAACATCTGGATTTCCAGTATCTGAAAGAAGGGACATTCAAGATTAAGGTACAATTCTGTTTTTTCTGATTTCATTTAAAGTGAAACCAGTAGTTTGCTCCTATAGATAACACAAGACTCTGGATGGCATTTTTGGTTTTGTTTTTGTATGTCTGTTTTTAATGGTAAGAGGGAGAATTATAAACTATGGCTGAATTCTACAATTTCACATATATTTTCAAGTATATAGTAAATACTTCTTTATTTCATTCTCTAGAGATAATTCTCAGGAAAATAATCTGTCCATAAAAATTACTTCATACTATCAGGTAACACGACCTGACTATAGAATAAGAAAAAAGACTGATGCAATTACATAAATGGAAGTTCCCTATTCTTATGGTATATTTTTAATTGTAAAATGTGATAGATGATGAGAATATCTCTATGCTAAGCATACTGAACATCAGAACACAAGTTGTGGTTTGTGGTCTTTAGGTAGTACTGGCTATAAAGGCAGAGAGAGATACATGAATTGTTTTTGAAAAAAATTGAGAAAAAGAAATAAGAAGTTAGGTTTTTATTTTCAATTTTAAATAAGAGATGTGTTATCTAAAAGCTATCCATATCCATGAAGCACAGCTTTATATGAGCATTTCTATATATACACATTTGCTTGGACACCCTTGGGTAATGTGGCAACAGATGCCAATATATCATCCAATGCCATCAAAGATTAATATGAGAATAAAATGATTTGAATACAAGATACCCACCATGCTGTAGAAACAGCTGTTTTTCCTCTATAATAGAAAAGCTAGACCTGGATGGGTGAATTTTAAATATGTAAAAAAATTCAAGCCACCTCAGAATGACAAGGGCCTCGAATGATAATAATGAGTGCACAGAACATATGTCCCATGCTACTCAAGTAATGTTATTTTTAAAACCTTTGATAAGCAAGGATGCTGGCTCTCACTGAGATGTCCTATTGCGTAAGATATTAATGTATAATTACTCCTTCTTTTCTGTGTTTCAACGAGGCATGGTTAAGATGAGGTAATAATCTAACACTATTTCTATTGATTGTGAACACGATGATCCAAGACAGTCACAGTGAAAAGGAAATTGAACTTTTGGAAAGAAAGAATATGATTCACATTTATAAAAAAAATCCCTTACTCATTCTTAGTATAGGACACTGAAGCACCCTTTTAGTCTTATGTGTGTGTCATGCATGTGTATGAGGTATGTGTGCATGTTTGTGTAAAATTCTTCAGTTTATATTTGCTACACACACATAGCAGTTAATATACATATGTATATTTAACATGTCAGTTAAAAACACAAGCTGTTAGTGTGCAATGAAAGAAGAACCTGAATATTCTATGAGATGAAATGATGTTGTGGAGTTTCATAATTGACAATGTAATCAGAAAAATATTGGAATTAAGAGAATTCATGACAGAAGCATTTCTTCTAACAGAATCTCCAGGAATGTACTTAAATTTTTAAAAATATTTTATTTGTTTATTCATGAGAAACACAGAGAGAAAGAGGCAGAGACACAGGCAGAGGGAGAAGCAGGCTCCATGCAGGAAGCCCAATATGGGACTTGGTCCCGGAACTCTGGGATCATGCCCTAAGCCAAAGGCAGATGCTCAACCGCTGAGCCACCCAGATGTCCCTAGGAATGTACTTAGAACATTTTTTTTCATCCAGGCCCTCCTTAAACCCCCAACACTGATGCAATCTACATTAAAGAAATCAGCATCCTATAACTCATTTAAAAAGAGTAGACCAATTATCAGCATATTTTATTTTTTTAATTTTTTTATCAGCATATTTTAAAATGAGTGGACATAAAATACTTACATTTTAAATGCAAGAAGGTTATCAGCATTACTGCTTCTATTGCAAAAGTCAGCAGGGTTTCATGTTATTCCTAGGATATTTGTATCTCCCAGAATAGGGATTATTTTGACACATTTAATTCATAACCTAAAGAGCCTGACCTCAAATTGATTTTTAAATTATTGTTGAACAAAGCCTCTTCCTTCCTTCCTTCCTTCCTTCCTTCCTTCCTTCCTTCCTTCCTTCCTTCTTTTCCTTCTTTCCTCCCTCCCTCCCTGCCTTCCTCTCTCCCTTTCTTCCTTTTCTCCTTCCCTTCCACCGTCCCTTCCTACTTTTTTTTTAATTTTTTAAATTTATTTATGATAGGCACACAGTGAGAGAGAGAGAGGCAGAGACATAGGCAGAGGGAGAAGCAGGCTCCATGCACCGAGAGCCCGACGTGGGATTCGATTCCGGGTCTCCAGGATCGCGCCCTGGGCCAAAGGCAGGCGCTAAACTGCTGCACCACCCAGGGATCCCCCTCTTCCTTTTTTTTCTAGGTTTTCCTTCCTTCCCTCCTTTCCTTCTCTCTCTCTTTCTTTCTTCTTTCTGTCTTTCTTTCTCTCTTCCTTTCTCTTTTTAAATCAGGTTTTTTTTTTCTTTCTGTACCTTGAGCGTGAAAGTCAAAATCAAATACTACCTTTCAAGATTCTCAGGCCACTGTCACTAGTAGTGGCTTGCTTAAATGCTTGTTCCACTTGTTCCCGGCGCTTTGATTCATATTCCAAGGCTTCCTGCAGTTTTCTCTTGGCTTTTTTCTCCTTCTTCAGACGTTTTTGCATGGTAGCTGAAACGTGAAAAGGTAATTAGTTGGCAAAACTTTAGTCAATAAAATAATGTTGCCTATTTTGGTGGATTATAAGCCATAAATAGATACTGAGAGAGACATAAATGCATATCATTAGTTTATTTGGGTTCCAGATCTCATTAGATTCAACCAGAGTGTTAAATCATAAAATTTACTTCTTTTTGCTTTCACCTTTCCAGTTCATATGCTTTATAATAAACATGCATTTGTATGGCAATGGTAGTCGTGGTAGAAAATTATTTTGTACTTTTACTAACTACATGCACTTAGTGATAGCATTCAATGTTTGATAATTTCTTAGATAGAATTATTGGGTTCCTGCAATATATTGGCTCATAGAAGGGTTTTAAGCCTACCAGTCTTTACAGTCTTTCTGAATCATTCTTTTTAATTTTACTTTTTTAAAGATTGTATTTATTTATTTATGAGAAACACAGAGACAGAGACACAGGCAGAGGAAGAAGCAGGCTCCCACGGAGAGCTTGATGTGGGACTTGATCCCAGGACCCTGGGATCATGACCTGACCAAAGGCAGATGCTCAACCACTGAACCACCCAGGTCCCCCTGAATCAGTTTTTAAAAATTGAAGATATTTTTTATTGTGAAAATAGAAAAACATTCAAGAAATATGCAAACTTTAAAATTTTGGCATTTAAAAATGTTTAAAGTGTTCACATATAATTAAAATATATTTTGAACTAATTATGATGCTAATTTGTTTCACTTGTATTTATTTCACAGTTCAATGTCTTTCATATAAATAACCTACAGCTGGGCAGCCCTAGTGGCTCAGCAGTTTAGCACCACCTTCAGCCCAGGGTGTGGTCCTGGAGACCCAGGATGGAGTCCCATGTCGGGCTTCCTGCATGGAATGGAACCTGCTTCTCCCTCTGCCTGTGTCTCTGCCTCTCTCTCTCTCTCTCTCTCAAATAAATAAATAAAATCTAAATAAATAAATAAGTAACCTTCAGCAACTTGAAAAGAATTAGACACCCATGTAAATTTACATTCATGTGAAACAAAAATTCAGAGCTTTGAGGTAATAACAAAATTGGAAAACTTGAAGCAAAGACACTGAGAATGTATGGTTTCTGTTATTTTTTTAAAAAGATTTATTTATTTTGAGAGTGAGGAAGGGCAGAGGGAGAGAATCTTCAAGCAGACTCCCCACTGAGTGTGGGATCTATCATACAACTCAGGAGATCATGACCTGAGCCAAAACCAGGAATCTGATGCTTAACTGACTAAGCCACCCAGGCACCCCTGGTTTCTGTTGATTTGGGTAAAAGATTATTAAATGAGGTTCAACATAAAGCTGTTTTACTATTTTAATTATACTTATTTATTATCATTAATATAAAGCATTTAACAAATTACTTAAATCAGAAATCTTAATTTATTAAAAATAATTTATAACTTAATGTCCTTGATAATACACAATTTTGCTTCCAGTAAAATTATTGGCTCAAAAGTATTCTATAATATAGTTTTTCTTTAAATTTATGATTATGTATATTACAATGGCACAGTGAGGAGAGATAGAAGCAGAAAAAATGTTCACCTTTAGCTCAGAAGACTGACCTATAGACTGCGTTGTTTTGATAGTGATCACATATGTGCTGACTGCTACACTTTTAAAGGGTCTCATGACTGTGGGTAAACCAACTCAGAGCTAATATGAACTGAATGATAAGCATCTGAGAAATCTTGTGAAAGCAGTTTTATGTGAAGATATTTATGCTATAATAATCCTTGCACATCTCCTCCCCTTTGAGTACTAAGCTTATAACTACCAGCTTCATATAGCAAAAAGTACAGCTCTTTCTGCCCATGGGTCCTGTCCTCGTGCTACTTCAATAAACTTATTAAGTTGCACCATAAAATGTCTCAAGAATTCTCTCTTGACCATTGTGTTCAACAATCCCACAGCATTAGCATATTACATTTTTAAATATATAAATAAATAATAATAACTTTCATGTATTTATGTATTTATATGTACTGAGCATTTTCTGGGACTATATCTCATTACATTTTAATTGGAAAAAAAGATAATAATAGATAATATTATATATAAAATAATAGTTTTATTATAACCAGAATTATACATACAATTTACTTCTTTTTGCTTTCGCCTTTCCAGTGCATATGCTTTATAATAAACATCCAATTGTATGGCAATGGTAGAAGTGGTAGAAAATTATTTTCTACTTTCACTAACTACATGCATTTAATGATAACATTAAATAATATAATATTTACACATGTAGTTTTATACAAACATATAGCTACTATTCTTTTTTTTTTAGATTTATTTATTTATTCAGAGAGAGGGGGCAGAGACACAGGCAGAGGGAGAAGCAGGCTCCATGCAGGGAGCTGACATGGGACTCCATCCCAGGTCTCCAGGATCCCACCCCCAGCTGTAGGTGGTGCTAAACCTCTGCGCCACCAGGGCTGCCCTATAGTTACTATTCTTTTGATATACTTAGACTGTTGTTACTTCTAAGCATAAGATCAATTCCTCCCCCTCTTTCTTTTCTATCATATGGCTTCAGATAAAAAGTTCCCCTTTTGTAATAAAAAGTTAGTTATAGTGGATATGAGATATTTAGGGAACTAGAAAGGAATTTAAGTTATTATCCAGTTCAACTATTGTAATAGATGAGAGTACTGAGCTTCATAGAGATGAAGTACATAATTTTTCTACATCAATTGAGGATAACAGAGTAGTTTCCTATAATTGTGAGTAATTAGATGTAAAATGTTAAAAACAGTGCTTAGCACATAACAATTAATAAGCATTAGCCACCAGTAGTAGTAGTAGTAGTAGTAGTCGTAGTGACAGTAATGATAGTAGTAGTGATAATGTGATATGTAATGATAGTAGCAGTGGTATTATTATTACATCATAATGTGCTACATTTATTAAATACAAATACTTTAGAATAAATTTGATAATAGTTATAATATTACATCAACCATGTCTAGGCCTTTTTATTTTTATATTTTTTTAAAGATTTTATTTGAGAGTGCAAGTGAGACAGCATGGTGTGTCAGAGAGCAGGAGCAGGAATGGGGGGAGAGCACGAAGGGTGATGGGGGAGCATGGGTAGAGGGAAAGGGAGAAAGATGGAGAACAGAGGGAGAAGCAAGCTTTCTGCTGAGCAGGGAGCTCTACTTGGGGATTGATCCCAGGACCCCAGGATCATAACCTGAGCTGAAGGCCGGTGCTCAACAAACTGAACTACTCAGGTGCCCCTATCATGTCTAGCCTTTTTTTAAAGATTTTATTTATCTATTCATGGACACAGCAGAGACATAGGCAGAGGGAGAAGAAGGCTCCCTGCAAGGAGCCCGATGTGGGACTTGATCCAGGATCCCGGGATCATGCCCTGATTGGAAGGCAGATGCCCAACTGCTGAGCCACCCAGGTGTCCCTGTCTATACCTTTTTAAAAGATAATAGATGTGATAGTAATTATAAAGATATACCTCAAGAATCTAAGAGGAGTTAATGAACAGAAATTGGTATAACTCTAAAAGTTAGAAGCCAATTTTACTCTATGTAGTAGTTACACATAAGCCAATCTGGGAATGTTATATTTAACATATGATTATTATGTTCTTTAGTATAAAAAATCATTCTACTAAAAATGTGTGTTTTTATGATTGTTAATTATAATTATTTTGCATATCAAACACCAGATATAAATGGATTTTTCTAAACTTTAAAAAGACAAGTTAAGTTTTGCTTAATAGTATTTAATGATTTTGACAAGATAATGAGAGGTTTAATTCTTTTGTTTTTAAGATTGTATTTATTTGTTTGTTTATTTATTTGAACTCTCCACCCAATGTAGGTTTTGAACTTATAGTCTTGAGATCAGGAGTCACATGCTCTACTAACTGAGCCAACCAGGTTTCCTCCATTTTTTTAAGATTTTTTTTAAAGACATTTAATTCTTTTTTTTTTAATTTTTATTTATTTATGATAGTCACACAGTGAGAGAGAGAGAGAGGCAGAGACATAGGCAGAGGGAGAAGCAGGTTCCATGCACCGGCAGCCTGACGTGGGATTCGATCCCGGGTCTCCAGGATCGCGCCCTGGGCCAAAGGCAAGCGCCAAACCGCTGCGCCACCCAGGGATCCCCATTTAATTCTTTTTAAATGAAGTGACTGAATTTATATTTTGAACTGGACTAATAATGATTCCTGGGCCTTAAGGAAAATATACTGTAAGTTTTCAATTGCTTGCCAAAAATTTTGGAATATAATATACAACTTTGGAATAAGGTAAAGTTAGTGGATTTCACTCAACTGGAATTATTCTTCCTTGGTTAAGGAGGCATTATCTATCTTGTGGATTTTCTCTTTTTCCTTCTCCTTCTCACTCTCTATTTTATTTAGCATTTACTTTGTTACCCTTCCATAGAAGAATAAGCAGAGAAGAGAAGAAGTTGAAATTCACAATCGACACTCTTGCTGCTATTTAGTATTTTAAGGTAAATGTAAGGAAAAGGTGAAAATTATTGGCTGAATTCAAGATTTAAAATTTTCCTGGTTTTTATATGAACTAGTGTCTTTATCCACAACTGTACATGACCTAATGTCTACCCATGGTTTGAAAGTTAATTCTATTTGTGAAGATTATCTCTCCTTTCTCTCTCTTTTGTCTCCATCCCTACTTATGCTACCCAAATTCAGTCCTCATCTCCACTGCCAGGATGAGAGCAAACTCCTTTTACATAAATTCCTTGTTTGTAGTCTTACTCCAAGCCCTCTCTCTATTCCCAACACTAAAGTGGTTTAATTGATATCAGACCAGATCATCCCCCTGCTTATTTCTTTACTACTTCCCATTACCTATAGGATAAAATCCAAGCTAATATTTTACATGGTTAAAAATTTCCTTCACAATTTAGCTTCTACTTTCATCTTTCTACATCATCTCCCATGATTCACTTCATTAAATTCAGAGCCACAGTGATAACAATCTGTTTATAGTTGCCCATGTATAAAGCTTCTTGCCTTCATTCCTATGCTTACTGATACCTCTATTGAGAATGTCCAAATCACTCAGATACTTTCCTGCCCTTACTTAGCCTACCAATCTTCAATACTCAGGTTCAAGTGTCAGCAACAGGAAGTCTTCCTCAACTATTCACTTCCCCACCAAACTGAACTAACTACCCCTTCTCTGTATAGCCATATATACTGTGCTTCATTGTTCTTGCCACATTGTCTTGAATTAACTGGTTGGTTATGCTGGCCCTCTAAAATGTAAATCTCTCAAGGACAAGGACTGAGTTTTATTTATCTTATTTATCTATCACTGTTCTTGGCAAAGAGCATTTTGTCTACAAGAAATTATTAGATTATTTGCATCCAGGAATATTTTATGAAATTGTGAGGAAGCTAAGAATATTCCTGTTTTCTAAATCTGCAAGTGGCCTGAAGTCAGATATATTTCATTATCTTTTATAATTAAAGAGAAAGAGTATAAATATCTTACCTTGTGAATTGCACACAGTATTTCTTAGCCTGTCATTTTTTTTCAGTAGTTCCAAGCTATCCCTGAGAATATTTCTACTATTATTGAATATATTTACAACAAAATGTTTATTCTGTAATTGAACTTGTTAAACTTACTTCTGCTTTGAAGCTCAACTGCAAGTTGTCTTTCAAGGTTTTCTCTAATTTCTCTCTCTCTATAGAGCTCCATTCGCAGTTCCTTTTTTTCTTGTTGAATCTGCTTCTCCTGGATGTGAGCGTTATCCAAAGCCACTTTCAGCAGACCCTGTCAAAGTACAGAAAATGACATGCAGTTCATCTTATCTGTTTTAGTTTCTCAAATGTGAAATAATTTATGTAGATGCTAATGTCTTGTATTACATTTATTTTGTTTATAGAAATATTGTTGACCTGAATGTTGGTCAACAGAGTCTCCACGGAGGACAGACTATCAGCGAAAATGAGTGGTCCAGGAAATCCAGGAGGCAATGCCTGCCCAGGAGTCAGTTGGATCTTGTCCAAGGGTGACTTCATTGTTGGAATTTGAAATGGTACCTCTTCTGCAAAAAGAAAATTAATATCAGAGCATTCACGAATTAAGAGCTCAAAAACTTCACTGTGTTTCCTTTACCTCTAATAGCATCTATAAATATTTTATTTCTATAACTAGATGATGGAAAGCTCTCAATTGGAACTCATACCTATTCCCCAGCTGCCTCTAGTTTCTTAAAATAAATGTTTCAGTAAATAATCAGTGAAAATGAAACATTTGCTGCTAAAGAGGCATGAGACTTGGAGAAACAAATTTATGATATGTTTATGAATACCTATAAATTAAATAACCAGATCACCTTCTTGTAAAGCATACACTGCATTTTTTTAAAAACTGTCATCTATCATCTATCTATCATCTCCATTCTTTAATAGCTTTATCAAAGTATAATTCAAACATAATAAAATTCGCCTATCTTAAGTGTACATTTCAATGATTTTCAGTAAATTTACAGGACTGTGCAACCATTATCACAAATGTATCTTAGAACAGCTTGATCACCACAAAAATACTCCTGATGCCCACTTACAGTTAATCTCCTGCCCCAGCCCCAGCCCTTGGCAACAGCTAATTTTCTTTCTATCTCTATAGGACTGCCTATTCTGGATATTTTATACAAATAGATGCAATATGTGGTCTTTTATGTCTGGCTTCTTTTACTTAGTGGAATGTTTTTGACGTTCATCCATGTGGTAGTATGTTTCAGTGGTTTCTTCCTTTTTATTGCTGAAACGTATTCCATTACATGAATACATTGCCCTTTGTTTAATTATTTACTAGCTGACAGGAATTTTGATTATTTCTGGTGTTACCTTTTATTTTGAAGAATATTACTTATGAAAAAATATCACCTGTGGCATATAAACACAAGCTGTATTTTCTCCTTTTATTTTTATATTATCTTCTCTCACATCCTCATTACATTAACAAGATTCTTTCTTAGCTTCCAATAGAATTTTTGTTTAATAAAATGTTTCAAATTTGTTGAACAGATCTAATTACAAAAGGAATTTTCTCTTACACTGGGAACCTAACTACATGACTATATCTTTGAATTCTGATTGCAAATCTTTTATGAGAGATGTATGAACCAGATAGCAGTTTTCCCTGCAATTAGAAACTGGGGATTTTTTTCTTTTTTGACATAGGTAAGTATAAAAGGCTACAAAGAAGTGATCTCGGAAGGTAATCAAACAAAACCTTGTGCTCTCTCTTTTTTTTTCATTCACCTATTTTTTGAGAAAGAGAGAGAATGGGAGAAAGGGGCAAAGGAAGAGGGAGAGAGAGAATCTCAAGCATACACCCCACCTAGCACAGAGCCTGACGCAGGGCTCGATCTCAGGACTCTGAGATTATGATCCTTGCTGAAACCAAGAGTTGTTGCTTCACCAACTGAGCTACCCAGGTGTCCCCAAACCCTGGTATTCTTAAATGGCTTCAACTACAGTGCATGAGGGGTAAATCATAGTACCACAGACAAAATTACTCTATTCACCACGGTCTCTTTACTTCAGTAACTGGCCACAAGCAAAGTTTGAAAATATGCATATCCCTGGTCAGAAAAATTTTCAAAGACCCCATATATTACAAAAATCATCCAAGAAAAGAAAAACCTAGGCTTAAATCTGGACTAACCAATTTTCACAAAAATCTAGTTATTGGTTCTGGTTCCAGTGGTGATAGAAATATGGAGTTATTGTACAGATATAGCTAATTTTGTAATTGCAAGCAGCCTATACATCTAGTATGCAGTCTTGAACCACACAGATTTCATAGTCATCATTATTTGCTGCATAGCAAGCGGCATGCCCTATTTACTGTATGGAAAGTTGTGGCATAGAATTCTGGGAAACTTCTGTGAGATTTGTAATGGGACAGCATTATCTCTGAATAAAATGTTTTTAATAGAGATCACCTTTTCCAAATTCTTTTCTTTTACAACTTCCAATTTCCCAAAATCTATACTGATAAAAAATGCTAAGCAATTATTTTATAGAATTAACAGTTTCATATTATTTGAATCCAAAATGTTATAAAAAAACATTTGTTTATCGTTCTTGAAGAATTCAATAAAATGACACCTGGGTGGCTCAGTTGTTAAGCATCTGCCTTCAGCTCAAGTCATGATACCACGGTCCTAAGATCAGTCTGCATAGGTCTCCCTGCTCAGTGGGGAGTCTGCTTCTCCCTCTCCCTCTGCACCTCCCACCCCATTTGTACTCTCTCTTGCTCCCTCTCAAATAAATAAATAAAATGTTTTTAAAAAAGGAATTCAATAAAATGTATAAATTAACCTATTAATTTTCTTTTAGCACAAGAATCTATAATGAACATATTCTCAGGAATTGTTTTTTCATAAAACATAAAAAATAATATTTTGATTATAAATGCATGATGCATGTGTCTTGTACAACTCCACTGTTGTGAAATTAACCCTAAACTCTTTCCTTCTTTCCTTCCTTCCTTCCTTCCTCCCTTCCTTCCTTCCCAGTGGTAGTTTTGGAAGAGGTAACTATTCCAGAGGGAGTGAGCACAATATCAGAAATTCTGTGATCTACTTCAACTACAATGTTTGAACATTTGAAATATGTCATTAAGAAACTAAATTCTAAAATGTCTTAGGCAGCATCTCTAATGCTTCTAAAGTACATTTCTCAACACCTAACCAAGCAATATTATGTCTTATTTCTATGGTTTGAAGTCTGTATTTAGATAGTATTTTGTTTTCTGCACATTATAAGTGGATCAAATAACTTCATAATGATTTATTGATAATAACTGGGGAGGTTTTATGCTTTTGCACTGTTGTTTATAAATCTTAAAGTATGAATTTATTTAGTCTGGAAGATCTATTTTTACAAAACGAACTGCTACAAAGTTAGAACATTGACATCCTGCTGAGTCTAAGATAATATAATCTTTCCCCTGAATAAATATTTTCTATCTGGGGCAGAATTCTTAAAATTAATAGACCCTTTGTTCTGTATCACTCTATATACAAGTAACCTCATTAATAAGAATCTGAGGAGTTTTCTACAAACAAGATATGCAAAAAGAAAAGCAATACATTCATCATGCATAAAACAAAATTAAAACTATTAAAATTCCTAGAAGTCACCTATTTGGAGATGAAATAAATGCTATTAAGTTGGCTGAAAGGAAAATTATTATTGACTATGAAAACAGGTCGCATGGTCTATACTTTGTAATGTTGCTGTATAGTAGATTGAAGTTTCAAAATAGCATTACTCTTTTTAAAAGAGATGGACACAGTTGAATTAGGTGTTGCTTGCCGCAGTGAGGATCAAATGCAAAAAGAATCATATTTCATTGGACCTAGTCAGCACCAGGAAAATAAATAGAAATATAAGAGGTATGCAGGCAATGATTCATTTTGATAATCTGGCCCAAGAGAGACACATAGAGACAGCACACAGATCTAAGCTTCTACCAAAAGACAAATAGGACACAGAGGGTGGGAATTGGGATGACAGTGTAGCAGGGGTCACATCGATTTTCAGCAGCAGTTTTCACACAGATGAGATAACCCTGGACTCTATTTGGCCCATTGTTCATATCCTGCTTGTCCCACAAGCAATAAATTTCCTAGACCTAGAAAAAGGCAGTAAAGAAGAAGGATTCTACTTATGACTTCTTATGATTAAGTTTCTGTGATAACCAAACATACTTTTTCAGACCAAGGTCACATTGCATGTTAAGGTCCATAATAGCCTAAAGCTAGTCAAAGTGTATTATGTTTTGGTGTAAATGAGTGAAAAGTATCAAACCATTTGTCTTTTTTTTCTGATTTAAATTCCATGCTACAAAAATGTATAACAAATGCATTAGAAATCTATTTCAATCTTGTAATAGGTCTTTACATCTGAATGACATCAACATTTTGCTCAGAATTTAAAGACATTCGCTATTATGTACAAATGTTTCCCATAGACTTGATAAATCCTAATTGTTAATGAAATTAAATATAGACAAGTACTAGAACCATAGATTGTCAGGTAAATAAGAGGAACTCTTTGTAAGCCAAGGAGAAAGGGTTTTGGTTGAGCATTTTGATTTAAAAGGCTGGTTTTCAAAATGTGTATATTAAAACCTTTATCAACACATATGATGCAACGGTATAAACTAAAAGATAAAGATAGGACAACTGTTATCTAGTTGAGGACATCAGCAACCTCTGCATTCATTGCAGCAAAGTGGAGACTGCTTTTATTGAGCCTGTTTGCTAAACTTGCTATAATTTGTAATAGCACTTGGAAATCTATTTGCTGAACAAACTCTTAATTTTAATTTCTTCCTTAGGGCCCAGATGAATAGATGTTAAACTTGACAAGAACTTTATTTGTAGAAAAAAGATAAACATTTGATAATTACTCAGAATGAAGAAATTCCCCTAAGAATTAAAATCAAGACTGTTAGACTTTCTATATGAACGTAGTGCTTATTTTCCCACTTTTTCATGGAGTTCAGTGTTTCTTCTTTCCTCTGGGCTTTGAGGATTATAATACAGGATTAGAAAATGAACACCACTGACTCACTCAGCAGTGGAAAAATGCAGCCACCTGCCATCAGGTCGTCAACTTTTATTCTTTAACAAATAAATTATATTTCTCTATTTGATTTGCATGCTTTCCCCTAAATAGAGCTGTCTAGAGACTTTCTTTTGTTGGTGCCATCAGTATTACATTTGGCAGAAGCAAGACACCTGCTTCCCTCTTCCAGACAGAGGAACAATAACAACAAAATGGCCAACTGCTGTGTAATGATGTGACTTGCATGAATATAAGAAAGTGTTCATCGTCTGAGTTGAACAATGAATGATTCAAATGTTGCCCTTCCTGAATGTGGAAAAGAAAAACTTGAACCCTAAATTGTTACATTTCTTTAGGGAAATGAAAAAGAAATTATGCTGACAAATGAAAACCAAAAACTAGTAGTGAGCAGATGAAGGGTCACCAGCCTGAGAAAGTATGATATGATACTTCTAAA